GAACCGAGCGGGGCTTTCTCCAAGCTGCGGGCGGCAGTGGCCGTCTTCCTCCGCTGTGCAGAGGGGAACAGGTGCAGAAGGGCAGTGCTTCCTGACTGCAGGGGAATAACCCTCCGTGGGCCTGGTATCCCGGCGTGTTCCAAAGTCCTGGGAGCCTCTCAATGACCCAGTGGGTCTTGACTAGGGGACAGGGACATTTGCATGTCACTCAGAGGATCCAGCCATTGGCCCCAGTGATGCACCCATACAACCTACAATCAAGGCTCCAAGACCCACATCACAGGACAAGGGGGCGTCCTCCTCGGGGAGGAGACCTGGTCTCTTCGACCACAAGGGGACGTGGGATGGTGCTGAGGGCACCAGCCTGGCCCAGGGTCCCCACGACAGGCATGTCACCTGGCTCCATGTCTCAGGGTCTCAGCTCCCTCACCTGGGACCCCTTCCTCCAACACTGGATGGATGATTTGTGACCCACAGCTCCCAAGCTGCCTCTCATTAGCAGTGGTCCTTGGCCCGTGCTTCTTAAGATTTTGCTGGGCACACAAATCACTGAGGATTTGTCAAAACGCAGGTTTGGATTCGGTAGGTCTGGGGGCACCTGAGGCTGTGTTTCTAACCAGCTTGCCAACTGCTTAGCGATTTTCATAAATCAGATCACCTTAAAGGAGTGAGAAGAAGAACCATTTACAGGCATCCGACAGTAATCTGTGCATGAAGCAAATAAAACCTTACAATCACTGGTCAAGTCAATCCCGATTTTTCAATTACGAGGTCTGCCTAAGTCGGCAGCAGGGTGTCAGGTGAAGGACCGGGGGCTGGAGCCACAATGACACAGGTCAAATCCCAGCTCTGCCGCTAAAAACCATGGGCTGTGCAAGTCCTTTCACCGCCCTGAACTAGTGTTCCCATCTACAAAACGGGGCAGGGACCCTTTCCTCAGGACCAAAGGAGCCACGTGTGTATCACGCTCCGCCACAGTGCCCGGCCAACACCACTACCCTTGAGCTGACTCACGTGCGGGATCAGGCTCTACCCGGGACACCCTTGCCCTGGGCCCAGACTGCACTCCAAGTTCTCACCCCGTGAGCTGACGTCACCTCCCCGACCCCATTTGAGGTGGAGCCTGAACCAGGCCTCTGAGGAAGCCCGGAGCAGGTCCCTGTCAATTCCTGTCTCCCTCTCTGTGGCTGCCTCGATCGCTCGCTCGCTCGCTCGCCAGGAGGCCGCTGGGAGGCTCCGCGGGCGCTAATCAAGCGAGTGTCCCTGCTGCTTGGAGGCTGCTTCAATCAGGGCACGCGGCGGGAGGCGTTATTAGCTGTGCCCACGCCTGGGCTTGCAGAGTGGCCCGACGTGTCCCTCTCTGGAGGGTCACCACGTGGCTCTGCATGTGCACGTGTGTGTGTTTACTGAGAAAGGGACACGTTTGTACTTCACTCTGACCTGTGCCAGGACAGAGGAAGGGGCTGAGCCTCGGCTCCCGTGCGTGGGCCCTGAGCTGGGATGGTGGCCAACTGTCTGGAGATCCACTGCGGCTGACAGGGACCGCTTACACCCAAGCTTAGCCCTCCTCCTCCTAGGGGAATCGGGCCCTGAGTGATCTCTTTTGCCTTCTCTAAGGAGAACACAGAACTGTGTGGCCACAACATGGCTGACCGGGCGGTCCCGTGGCCTTGGGAGGCTGCAGACCAGCTAGATGACCTTTAAAGTCCCTTCTAGCCTGGAGAGGGGAATAGCCTGTTGGTTACAAATGGGAGCTCTGGATGTCAGCTTTCAGGACTTGAAATATGGTCAAAAATACTCATTGACCCTGTGGCCCTGGGCAAGTTGCTGAACTTCTCTCTCTGCCTCACCCTGAGTATCAGTAAAATAAGGGTAATAATTAGCACCTACACCAGAGTGGGAATGATAATCCAATGAGAAGAGGTGCGTAAAGCAAGTGCTCAGCAGGGCAGGTAGTGAGCACTCAAAAATGTTAGCTCTTCGGGGTGTCTGTGTGGGAGGGCGCCATGTGGGGTCTTCTTGGTCATCCCCCTGCCGCCACCTTGGAGGTGACCTGCTTCAGGCAGGGCTTACACGGGGAGGGACGCAGAGTGCTTGGGAGCCCAGCTTCCTGAGAGGCACTCCGGCCTGCTGCTGCCTCTCCAGGACGGCAGAGAAGGGCCCTCATTTTTTAAAATGCCCAGGAGACTCGCCAACCAAATTAGATGGGAAATGGCTCTGAAAATGATGATGTGCCTCACGGTCATGTGGTCCCTATTCTAAGTCTTGCTGCTTCCGCAATTATTCACAGGACCTACTGAGTGCCAGGTGTAGGAGCACTGGATTAATCTGTAGACCTGGACTCACGTCCTGCGTTTGTGACTAATCAGCAGTGAGCCCTTTCACTGGGAGGATATGGGCTCCAGGCCTGTTTGGGGGCGGTCGGGTCCTTTTCCTGCTGAATTCACAGTGCGACTGCCAGGGCCCCAGGGGACGGGTCTGCACAGCATCACAGCACCGAGCAGTTTACACACACCCCTCCGGACGCTCTACCGCCACCTGGGTTTCTGCTTGGCCATCTCCATGGTCTCGCAGACTTTCTGATCTTTCATTTGAATTCTGTCCATAGCACAGTTTAAATTCATTTCCTTTTCTTTGGGCCTTGGAAGTAGAAACCAGAGCGACTCAGGATTCAGCTCCTCTCCCAACGCCCTTCTGAGGGGGGTGGGTTCGCTGGGGAAGTCTTTTCAGGGCTGACCCTGCGCAGGCACTGTGCTCCTCCTTTGCTTGTGGCGTCTCCCCCAGGCCTGGGGACCCCATGAGGCGGCCATCCCAGGCCCTGTCAGACTAGAGTTCAGGGAGGCGACCTGCCAGCGCCCTCTCCAGTAGCTCCGGGTTCTCCCTTAGAGCTCGGAACTGATGCGGGTGGGTTAGGCACCTGCAGAGTCACCTCCAAACCCTGTCTGTGACCCCAACCACTCCACTCCACCCCTTCCTCTTGTCTACTTACATATTTGCTTATTCTCTTAAAGAACAAGTACCAGAGCCAGATGCAAGAGAAAACAGAACCCCACCCCTCCCCAATGCTATGAACACAGTTACCTGCGCCAGCCGCAGTCAGCCTCGACCTAGGTGGAAAAGAAGACAGCACCTGTGGAACGACTGGGGACAATGGCTACAAACCTCTCTGGCTTCAAGCCAGCTCAGGGGCCTACTCTCCGGGGCTGAAACTCTACCTTCTGATTGCTCCTGTGCCATTTGGGGGTCTACCCTCCCTCAAGCTCAAACAACTGTCTGTCTGGGTTGCCTGACAGCCAATAAATTTAAGACCCATGTTCCTTCACTACCCGCGTAGCCCTGGGGCATATCCCCTGGGCCCTAGCTTCCCCCTGGAAGAGCAAAAAGAATAAGGCCCTTTCCCCACCATGGTGTGTCTCTGACTCTTCTCAAAGTCAGTCAATGGTGAAAGGCTACACACATGCATTCGAGGCAGCGCAAGGTGTGGTCTCTTGCCTGTTTATGTCGGGCCTTCCCGGTGAACTGTTAAGCCCTGGCAGGCCAGTGCTCTCGGCTATGCCTCCTACCGCCCCCTACCTTTCTACCCGCGCCTGCCCCCCCCCGCCCGGCCCCCGGCGTCCCTCAGTGGAGTCAGGCTCCCCTTCAAACCCTGTCGCTCTAGTTTTAAGAACAGCAAGTAGGAGCCCCCGGAAGAGAGGCGCACCGGCTGGAAGGCACCGCCTTCGGAGTGGTGGAGACAGCCTATCTCCCCTGTGCCATTTTAACGCCTGAGCTGACGCCTCCAACCTATATTACGCAAAGAAACGGTATTTTCATTTCAGATGCATATGATGGCTAGGAACAATACCAACAATATTATTTTAGTGCCCTGGGAAAAAATTAGCAAGTCAAATATTGAATCAGGCCCGTAGCACCACATGCTAAGCAGATTGCTTTGATCTTATCCACACTAAAAGCTCTATTATTGAATTTAAAGTCAGGGAACACGTATAAAACCAATATACAATGAATATCTAAATGTGTGTTTCAGAAGCAAGAAGCATTGTGACTAAAGGAAGAAACTATCAAAGTTACAGCTGTGATTGAAACGCAAATTTGCCCTCCTTCTTCTCTTAGGGTTGGAGGTTCTGCTAGCCAACCAAAATCTTTGGGCTCCAAAACACCTGCTGAGCTCCCATTTTTCTGTAACCAGCAAGGAAGGGGCTTCTCACTGTCCTACTCAATTTGAAGGCAGGAGTTGGAGATGGAAAGCCAGTCAGTGTGTACATTCTGTACATGGTGTGGCGCCCTCTGGTGGCCATTTTCTGGGCGGCCTATGTGGCTCCCCAAACCTCCAATGATTCACCCTTCCTCCCAGGAAGGTGCCTCCCAGAAAACAGAGCTTTAGAGGGCAAAAGAGAGGAACAGAGGCACTTGATCAATAAGATAAAAAGTGTCTACTTGATTGGAGGGGGAAAATGTTAATTACCCAGCAGGGCCTAAAGAAAGACATAATTGGGTGGTAACCTTCATATCCAGGACATCTGCCCTCCCCACCCTCCCAAAATGCCAAGGTGAACAGTAAATGCATATCCAAAGCCAGGGGCTGGTAAACTGCAACCTGCCCACCAAATCTGCCCCGCTGCCAGTTTTGGTGCAGCCAAGAGTTAAGAATGGTTTTTACATATTTAAGTGGTAAAAACAAGTATTTCATGACACGTGAGAATTCCGTGAGATTTCACTGTTAGCGTCCTGCTCGCTCATGAACATTGTGTTTGTGGATGCTTTTGCGCTCCAACGGCAGAGCCGCAGTGTGACCAGCGGCTCTGTGGCCTGCGAAACGGAAGACACTAGTTGGCCCTGAACGCCTGCCGTTCACAGGGCTGAGCCTTGAGAGTCTGGCCCCCAAGCCCACCCTGCCCACCTTGCGGCGTGACGACCAGGGCTGAGGCAGTGTCTGCAAGTCAAGGTGTGTAGGTGGGGGAAGGCAGGCACCGCACTTCAGCACAACCCCTAAAACTTACCATTTTATTATTGATTTCATGGAAATGAATCTCACAGACTTTCTCCACAACGTCTTCATTCTCAAAAGTGACAAAGCCAAACCCTAAAGGAAAAGGAAAAACAAAAACAAAAACAGAGAGGGAGGGTGAGTTCAGTTCGGGCAGGCCCACGTGTTTTTCTTTGCTGTCCTACCGTGGCCCCCAGCTCCTGGTCTGGGGAGGGGCGCCGATCCCTGGGAAGGGCCCCCAGGTTGAGGAAATGATTTCTAATTTGTACGGCGCACCCTTGCAACAGCAAGGAAAAGTTAATGATTTCACCCACATGCGGCAGGTGCTGCGTGGTTTACACCTGCCCCCAGGCAAACAAGAAATTTTCTTGTCTGTTATTTATGAGGGTCAGAGCTGCATGGCGGCGGCGGCAGGTGCGCAGTCCCCAGTGGTGGGATCACTGCGGGGCCCTTCTGCGCTGCAGTGGCCAGCCCTCCGGTCAGCCTCCAGACGGAGGCGGTTATTTGTCCTTCTCTTCCTGAATTACTTCCTCTAATACCTCATCAGGACATCCTGAGGCCTGGAAGAAACTATTAAAAGTTTCAGGCCTCTGTTCTACACAGGCATCCTTTTTCTACTGCCGCTTCAAAAGCGCTACAGATTTGGGGCAGTTTAAGACTGTTTGATGCCCGCTGTCAGCCTGTCGTCTATCCACTGTATTTACTCGGCTGGAGACGGCTTTTGCTAGACAAAGCTGTACTGAAGAATTTTGGCAGGCAACCACTGCTCAGCATCCTGAGCTCCTCTCGCTACCCTCCTGCCCCTCGCTTTCTTCTCTCCCTGCCCCCGACAGGGTCTCCAGCACGCAGCCCCATCTGGGACCCTGCTTGGTAAGCGCTGATTTAACACGCGGACCCACTGGCGTGACGGCACCCCGCCTCGGATGGAGCGCAGCTGCTATGTCAGTACCAGCACCACGCGGGGGCACAGGGCACAGTCAGATGCTGACGGGGAGGCCGGAGGCCTGCGTTCCCACTTCTGACTCTGCTTCCAACTTTTGTGTCATCCTGGGAAGTCCCTTCCCCTCTCTGAGCCTGGAGTCTTGTGCCTGCAAATTATGGTGGTGAGACTGGACACTGGGACCCACGCCTTTAGTGACAGCCCCAGTTAGGATATGCAAAGCTTTCTGCTCTGGGCCAAATGTTTGAGTCGCCCCAAGATTCTTATGTTGGAATCATAACCCCCAATGTCATGGTGCGGAGAGCGGGCCTTTAGGAGGCATCTGGGACGTGGCAGGTGAGCCCTCATGAACGGATGAGTGCTCTGAGAAAAGACACAGAGGGCTGGCTTTCCCTCCCTCTGTTCCCTGCCACGGAGGATGCAGTGAGAGGTGGCTGTCTGTAACCAGGAAGCGAGCCCTCACCAAACACCTGACCATCCAGGCTGGTGCCCTGACCTCGCACTTCCAGCCTCCAGAACTGCGAGCAACAGATGTCTTGTTATAAGCCTCCCCGTCTACGGTACTTTGCAAGAGCAGCCCGAACAGACGAAGGCACTCTCCTCCCTGGAGACGCGAACCTGGCCAAACCCAAACCTGGACACCCACCAACCCCGACGATGAAAATCAGGATGGAGGTTTTTGTATTATAATAATTAGCATTTCCTGTCAATGAGTAAAAATACAGATGTTTCCTTTTCAAGCTCTGTGTCTTTTCTGGGTCCCAGAAACCCAAGGTGGAGAGAGAATCTCTCAAGTCCCTTCTCTACCACCACCGTCTCCCAAGGAACAGCCGAGAACAGGCAGCCGATACATGGAGCTTCTCTGTCAGAGCTCCGGCAGGGTCTAGAGGTTCCTATGATAACAGATGAAAGGCCATTCCCTGCTCTCAGTAAGAAAGAGGGCTAGGACCACCACACAAGTGGCAACCGTGATCTTTATTATAATATATAATTAGTTAGCAACACCAATACCAGGCCCATGTCCGCAGCCCTCACAGTCCAGCCTGCTATAGGCACGCAAGGCTGAGGGTCGGTCACGCCTTAAGGGGGACACAAGCCTTGCTGCCAGGGTTCAAAGCCGGCACATTCCTCCCCGAGTCATCCTGGGGAAGCTGGCTCCTCAGGCACAATGATTTTGCTAGAAATGAGGCCCAAAAAAAGACCTTCACCCAGGGGTACGCAGCCTCTCTAGCAGCGGTTCTCCGCAGGGAGCTCCGTGTCCTCTGGGTTCCCTCTGCATGGGCCTCAGCTCCTCTTTGGCCCTTGGTCCCACTCACGACGGGCAGAGCTGGACGAGTGCCGCGCCCAGAGGCAGTCTCCACGTGACTTCCCTTTGGGCTTTGGGGCGCTGGCCCCCCTTTACCCCCTTTAAAACTCTCGGCCAGGCAGGCAGGGCCCCTGCAGCACGGGGCAGGGGGCCTGCATCGTTTTGCTTAATCCCCTCCTTCCCACCCACCCTCCAAAAGCTCATGGCCTAGAGGCTCCTCAAGAAGGGACCGAGATGCAGGTCTCTCAGGAGTCCTCAGGGGAGGACAGGTGGCACAGCAGAACGTGCGGGAACCTGCTACACTGGCTTTGGGGAGGGGGCAGGGCGGGGCCTCAGTCACCCTCAGCCTCCCGGAGGCACAGAGCCCCTGACACCCACGCCGCGCGGAGTGGCTGCTGGCTGAGTGAATGACTGAACAGCCGTCTCTGCTCCTCCAGGGTCCGAGCATCTTGCTTATTCATCCACGCCCCTGCCTCCCCGCCCCATCCCAGGACCGCTCTGCACTGTTCCCCATTTGCTGGCTCCCGCCTGTGCATGCAGAGCTCAAGACGACAGTGTCCCTCTTAAGCAATCTCCTCCCTGAGGCGCACAAGTCAGAGGTTCCCACTTAAGGGGAGCAACTCCCCTGTACCCACCTCACCCTCCCTCATGACCCCCGCTTCTGCCTAGCCTGGGGGTCAGTCCCTCTGGGTCCCATTTTTCTCTGAAGATCACCTATCCAGGCTGGACCCAAACCCAGGCAACAAGCGAACCCCTACACAAGCCAGGACAGGCCAGTTCTTGGGGGAAACCTCACTGCTCACCAGGATCAGAGCAATGGCTTGAATAGTGCCCCTATGAACTGACCTTATCTGGGAAAAGGTTTTTTTGCAAATACAATTAAGGGTCTTAAGGATTAGGGTGGGCCCTAAATCCAATGACAGGTGTCTTATGAGAGAAAGGAGAGGCAGGCTGGAGGGGCAGGGGGCAGAGGGGAGAAGTTCGCGTGTAGACGGAGGCAGAGGCTGGAGTGAAGCAGCCACAGGAGCTGGGAGAGGCGAGGAGAGGTTGTCCTCTGGAACCTCCGGGGGCAGGGTGGCCCTGCCGACACCTTGATTTCAGACTTCGGGTCTCCAAAACGGTGGGAGAATAAATTTCCGTTGGTTTAAGCCACCGAGTTTGTGGTACTTTGCTATGGCGGCCACCAGAACCAACACAGCAAGGTTCCAGGCTGTGGCTGCCCCCGCCGATGGGCAGGTCACACGCGGTCTCCTCAAGCCAGGCCGATTTCCCGATTTGGGTAGAAGGCAGGAGAGAGTGAATGAAGGGACCGAACCCGTCTGTGCCACCAGGAAAGAGCATGAGGTCAGTGCCTTCCACACGAGCTGGAGGACAGCCTGGTTTAAAGCCAGCTTACTGCTAAGCACGTGAACTTGATCCTGGGTAAGTCATGGGTCGCGTTCACTGCCATGGAAGCTGCTTTTCCGCTGCGACCCGTGCCTTCCTGGTCCACCGCGTGAATAAATCGCTGTCTGAACGCCGGGCCCAGCACCATTCAGGACTCGCGTTGTCCCGCTCACTCTGTGCCACCCCCAGAGACAGGGAGAGGTGTGACGGAGCTGGGGGACAGGGAGTAAAATGCAGACTGCGCCCCGGGGAGGGCAGGGGCAGGGCCGCAGCAGCATTTCAGGTTCTGACTCTGATATCCTCCCTTCTGGTCCCTTCCCCAACCCCCCGGACTCAGAATTTGAGTATCTCAGAAATGATTTTCCTGATCAAAGGAGAGAGGCTGGATTTCAAGCCCATGTACCTTGGCTGCATAACAATTCAGCGATGTCAAGACTCATTTGCAGTATTTTAAAGATCTATATCGTTTTTACATCCCTGTCTGTTTGGCCCAAATAGGGAAAGCAAACTTGATTATGTCTAAAATATTTATTTATTCCATTTGGAGAAAGCAAAGAAACACTTAATTAACGACAAATGTTATTCCTTAACGTATAATCATTTTTATCTCACGGGCGCATTATCATTTACAATGAAATAGTAACTCAGTGGCGAACAACCCCCCCAAATAAATTAAACTGAGGCGTGAAGGACAAAACAACGAAGTCAGAAACTGGGGAGGGGTAAGGTGGTCGGTGGGAAAAATTCTTTTTTGGGGTCAAAGTCTGTCTTTGAAATATATATAACAAACTTTACCATTTTAACTATTTTAAGTATATAATTCAGTACAATACTGTGCAGCCATTACCATGATCCATTTCCAGAACTTTTCACTATCCCACACCGAAACTCTGTACCCACTAAGCTGTGGTCCCCAACTTCTTTGGCATCAGGGACCAGTTTTGTGAAAGACAATTTTCCACAGATGGAGGTGGGGGCCGGGGTCGAGAGACGGAGCTTAGGCCGGGGAAGCAGGTGGGAGACAGGAGGTGGAGCTCAGGCATCCTTATGTGGGGGAGGAGGGAGGTTGGGGACCCCTCCCTAAGCAGTAACTCCCATGCCTCCCTTCCTTGGTGCCTGGCAACCTCTGTTCTGCTTCCTGTTTCTATGAATTTGACTATTCCAGGCACCTCATGTAAGTGCAATCAGATAGTGCGTGTCCTCTCGTGCCTGGTTTAGTTCACTTAGCATGATGTTTTTACAGCATCGTGGTCTTTTGAACAATCTGCTGGGTGTACAGACTCTATAGGAGACCCAGGAAGGCTGGGTCTTCTGGACAAGGGGCAGAATGGCTGATTATTTCCCTCCCATTTCCGCAAAAGAGAGCCCCAGGCAGAGTCAGAAATGGGGCTCTCAGACTGAGAGCCTGTCTAATGGAGGTGTAGCAGCCAGGTTTAAGAACGGCATCGTTATTCTCACTCAAAA